ATTACAGTTTAGTATAAAATTGTATGTTGCTGTAGAAAACTCCTTAGTAACTACATTTTTACTTAGCATCAAATGCCCCATGTTTATGGTCTTGTTTCTTGCCTTATCGCCCTGGATATTTACTAGCTGGCACAGTAAAGCATATGATTACCTGGGATGTCTGTTAACACTTTAATGAGGTACAAACAAAAATTAGTCCATATTCCACAATGACTTAGAGAACAAGCATATGCTAAGCTGCATCTTGTCCAAAAGGGAACAGAGGAAAACATTTTCTGAACCTTGTCCAAATTCTTATTTTCTGAAAAATTCCTAATTAAACAAAAAAAGTCAATAGAATAAATCATCACAGACATTTTTATTTTTATTGTGAATGACCTAGTCAAGACTTTCAACAAGTCTTTAATTATTTATAGTAGTACAAATACAATAATAAATATAAAAATAACAATACATTAATTTGATCTTCCTGGGTAGACAGAAAGGCTTAATTTCTAGTTTTAGAAAAACATTTTGCTGAATCACATCTGTAAGAGAATATGTGTTTTAAATATCTGCTGGGATAACTGTAAGCATCTTCCTGTAACATCCGTACCGCAAGTCACTCTAGAGAAGCAATTATCTCCATATAACAGTACATGCGCTTTTGAGACACATGTAGGATAATCCAAGTGAAGAAGTCATCTTCTAGCCTTTGAATGAGACATCTGCATAGAGCACACAAGTTTCTCAAGGGATATATTTAAATGTCACACGGACAAAGCTATCCCAATGGCAAAAAAGGATTTTAAAAGGTTTGCTTTTGGATATAAAGCACTCCTTGAATCAAGAAGGCGGCTGGAATAAAGAAGGAAGTACCAGCATGAAGCTAGCTGGAAGACAGGTCAACTTCAAAAAAGTTCTCCTACCAAGGCCAAGGAAGTAGCTGCCTATGCTGAGAGTACTGAAAGCTCTAGCTGTCTTTTTGGTACCACAAGTCAGGTACTGCAGTGACTGGAGGAAGGCTGTCTCAACATTCCTTGCACAACACTTTCCAGGTCACGGTTGATCAGGTCTCTGACCCCTTCACACAAGCCGGACTTAACTATTTTGGAGACTACCTAGTATTTACCATGTACTCAAAACCACATTTCAATGTAGATTTCAACGCTGCTTTTATTATCTCGTGTCTGTCAGGCCCAATGGTACAGAACAACGATGATTTGTACATGCAGTATAATAGAAATGGTTCTGGGTTTTGATTATACCAGCTAAGTGAAACGCAGTGTGGAAAAAAAAAAAAAAAAAAAAGTGTCTTCATATACTTTAATTCAGCTTTCTCCTTTCCAATGTTTCATTATGTCTACATTTAGCCCGTACCCAGGGCTAAGCTATAATAGTCACTCTATCACCCGATGACCCCTTACCAGCCAGGGAGGGGAGTTGGGAAAAGGAGAGAAGATCTGTGGGTGGAAGTGAAAACAGATTTAATGAAACAACACCAGCAGAGATACACAGAGTTATACTCAGCCAAATGAGTGTGCAGCCACCATAATTAACAGGACAGCAGTCCTCAGGAGCAGGAAGAAGCTGGAGGAGGAGCAGGAAGAACCCCACAGAAGCTCCTCCCCTTCTGCAGCAAACCTTCCCCCTTTATAATGACCATGACATGATGGGATGGGCTACCCCTGTAGCTCACTCAGGTCAGCTGCCCTGGCTGACTCCAAACTGCTAACGGCCCATCTGCCACGGCTGGTCCATGATTCTAACCCAGTCAAACCAGGACAGACGAGTAGTGTCCTGTGGGATTATAATTATTTTTCACCTGTTTTGAAGTTCTTACACTCTCAACTTTAAAACATTTCTTGACTGCAAAAAAAACCCTGCTGGGCTTAAGTATATTCCTTAAAGTCTTTAATTTTTCCTAGTTTTTCCTGTGCTAAATTCTGATAATGATTGTCTGAAAAACAGACATGAAAGCAGGACAGATGTGTTAAACATATGGTTACCAAGGGAGTTATTTACACAGCAATAATTATCATATGATCTTAAAATTTTAGTTCCAAATCCTTTTTTTGTTTTGATTCGTTACTTTTGATGACAGATTTGGGTATGAATTATCATACCAATTAAGTGCCTACAAAGTTTTCAAAGAACAGTTGTACCCAAATATAATTAATAAAGTCAAAGCATTTGCTACGTCACTAACCAGTTTCTCTAAAATGGAAATACATTTATGGAGTTATCCATTTGCTGGTGTCTATTCTACACACTCCTTTAAGCCTACACAAATTGACAGTTTCATTATTACAGAATTTAGAAACTTAACTGCAATAGAGAATTCCCTTTTGCTAAGAAACATACCATGAGAGCTCTACATTCATATAGGCATAATGGACTGTTCAGCACACAACACTAATGTCACCTAATTCTTTGCAAAACAGTGCCAGCCTTTTTCTAGCTTGAGCCAAGGACTGTCACGCTGCCATAGCAGGCTCCCATAATGGCTTCTATCCTCCAGCCTTGGCCTTATAAACGCACATACAAGCCGTTCTGTCCTCCATTTTTGAAGTCATTACTTTCTCTTAATTATTATAATTACAGTTTCAAAAACTCACACCTCCACCCTACCATTCAGCAGCATACGTGTGGCTTGCCCAAAAGCAAAATGAGCAGCAGATGGTTTGAATCTCCACTATTCACAGGTATTTCTGCTGAAAGAACGTTGTAAGCTGCGCTGTCAGCTGCTCCTGCATCAGGATTCATCTAAACATTTCTATACATAATCCTGCATGTTTTATTTTAATAAGCAAGCACACAGAATTACAGTATTACAGCTTCTCTTATCTAATGCCACGGAAATTTAGGTAAAATGGTTGAGAAAATAAAACAAAACTTGGCAGGGTTTTAATTCCATAAAACTGCTGCTCTGTATCTCCTGCTGTAATTTGGAAGCATCATGCTCCCGTTCTCTTCTATAGGCCAACAAACAAAGGGAATGGGTAAGCAGTATGACCAAATTACATCTTGTGAAACAGCACAACAGCAATACATTTCAGTGTTACCCGAAAACTTCAGTCTCTGTGGATCATTTACTTCCTCTTTTCACCAATCCTTTTCAATATACTGTTAATTGTGTTAAACCCTGAAAATATGTTGAAAAACAGTAATACAATTTCGTGTATCACTGTGCCAAAGCAAATCTTCAGTGGAAAGACTGTGAGGCGATTTACTGAGTACACACAGAGTGCTGTATAGGCTAATATATAACAATTAAATATCAGACAATGAAAGATTTGACAGCCAATTTATCATAAATAGTTGCTGCTCTTTATGGAATACACTTCCTTTATATATATAATATAGAGACCTTGAAACAATTAGTGGTGCCATAATACTTTTTTGATGTTCTTGAATGAGGATTTTTTGTTTATTTTTGGGGGGATAAAAATATACAGTGTTTTTAATGAAGTACACAGTGAAACTAATGTATTAAGCTGATTCTTTTATAGTGATAAAAACACTTTCAGACTATGTAAATGCAATATAATCTCAATTTAAACTAGTAGCAATTTAGCAAAGATTGGAGTGGTTTTAATTTGAAGTCCATTTTTTCCACTCTGTGGACTACTGTCACAGAAAGTAAACATGCCTGTCACTAGAAATAGGCAGGTATTTTTCTATTCGGAAGAACGAACGATGCTATACAGAAATTTTCTTATTAGATGAATTGAAGTTGTATGACACAAAGTTTTTTGTTCTTAAACATTTGCTAGTCACCTGTAGAGATTTTGTTTCAATATATCTTAACTGTTACTTTAAACTGAAATGTAAATTGCATTAATGCGTTTATAATAACATTTATTACTTTAAAAAAGCAAAACACAACAGATAAACTCAAATGTCCATGGAAAAAAGCTAATTTTTGCTCCTTGAGACAAATCAAAGGAATGTCTTCGAGAGGAGTTAGTAATTATCACAAACAACCTACCTAGAATCCAAAATTAATCTAGAAATTTTCACTAAGAGAACAGAAATATTTTTCATTTTACTATGAAGTGATATCATTTATCAGAAAAAAGGTAAAATACCAACTAGGCTGAATTTAACACTAACTAACATTTTGAACTGCATGAGTTAATTATTAAAAGACAGAAGAATTCATGAGTCCCATTCTTGAGGTAACTTGTACTGCTCGCCCTTGAGCAAAACTGCAGGGGTAACAATAGCTAGTAAGGCAGAAAAATGAGCACAAGTTGTGTGAATAGAGATGGTCTGAGAAGTTATTCATCCCAAACTGATCAAGATGATGACCACCATCAACTAAACTGATTGGTAGCCAGTGAATTGCAAAGACAGCTTTTAAAACAAAGAAGTCAGCTTGAAAATAAGTATGAAGGTAGGATGAAAATTTGTAATTATGGGGAGATTATGGAGTGGAAACAGCAGTGGCCAAAACCTGATTTTGACTTGCCAGAGGTCATCATGCTGGTGCCACAATCACTGCATAGACCAAACAGAGCGTTGTCCCCACCGGATTCTTCAAACAGCCTGGTAAGCTGACAATTTGGGGTGCTACAAGGAGGGCTGATTTCCCATGGTGTATGTATTAACAGATTGTAGGCAGAGGTATGTGTACACATAGAGCTGGATCAGCCATGTCTCCAAACTTGCTTTCCTGTAAGTGGGAACATGCTTGTACCCTACGTGTCCTCTGTGGGAAGGAGTGCACACGTGTTTCTCTGGATGGGGAGGTACTGAAAATGTTTGGAATTGCTTAGAGAAGGCTGTTTAGAAATTTGTACCTGTTTATTAATATTTTGTCTTTTGAGTCATCTGTTGTATTGATGTAATTGATCCTGCGTACCTACTTCACTGACTGTCAGCTAATTACATGCCACTAATAAATCAGTGAACTGCTTCAGTACTTCCAACTGAGCAGTTTTCCCCCCTGACAATCCATATGTGGCTAAATTCACAGAGTCTAAGAAAGATTCAAGTACCTGAAAAATTGTACTCACGTAGTATGATCATTTAATGGGCAGTGTTTTTCTTGCCCAGGGTAGAGATTTGCCCCTCTTCCAAGTTCCCACTTGAATATGTTTGTGGTATGGATGGAACCATTTTCTGATGTCTGTTCCAAGGCTGGTTGATACCATCCGCACTGGGTTTTGTCTTCAAAGTCGCAGACTTCCATAGCTAAGGATTCAATGCATAGCGTCCATGAATACTTACACAGCACTAATAGGCACAGTTTTTCCTCTGTAGATAAAATATCAGTTATCTTTTCTATGTTCTTTTCTATTAGGCAGATTCTAATTTTGGGAATATATAAATTCCTTTTCACCTCAGTATCTACCATCACATATGTTCCAACAAGCTTTCAGGCCATTCTAATAATCTGTCACGTGATATACACTGAAGTGCATGTAAAATTCATCAGCTACTGCATGGTTCTTCCTTCACTCCTGTAGACTGATGACATTGGCAAGTCACTGCACATTGTGTATAAAGTCCATGACCAAAACTCTAAAAAACCAAATCAATATTTCAAGCAGTCCCCACAATACCTGAAAGCTACATCATAAGGCAGATATTTGGTATTGGTGTCAAATACTGAATTGTTGTCTTAGTAAATATGCAGCTGCCTGTGCCTTAGTTTTGTTTCCTGAGCAACTGGACGAGGAAAATGAGCTCACTACTGTCCCTCCCTCACAATGCATCCCCCTGTAAGAATATTTAGGGGAAAGAAACCCGCTTATTTTCCATTTCTGCTATGAGTATTTATTCTCCAGCACATCTTCCTGAATATTTTGCAGAAACTTTGTCTAGGTGATCCAAGGTGAGTCTTGTCACTCTTCAGAACTTTGAAACAGATTATTATACTCAAGTTTAAGTGATTGCTGTGAGAATTGTGCAAGGAAACCAGAATTTATTTTAACCCATGAAGCTCAAATACTAGTGTAGCTGAGTAACTTCTACATCAAGAAATCATAGTGCAATAGGAGAATTAGCCTTCCTTGGAGGTTAAAAATAGTAGACTGAGGGAGGAAGTTTTGATTTACAGCTTATATTTCTCCAGTAAGGAAGCAAACCACAGCCAGCGTGATCTCATGAGTTACCTGTATAGAGATTTGTGATGTTTCCCCGAGAACGATGAATGGTGTAGTATTAAGTGTTTATTGGCCTTTTTTGACATGTTTTGTAAACATTATGTTTCAAATGTGTCTGAGAAAGACAACACCTTCCTGAGAATATATTTCTCCCCTCAGTCAGGACATACTTAACTCCTATTCCAGCATTGTCATTCAAGTGATAAATCGCCCTCATTGCTGTAGTGATGGGACACTTCAGACAGAGCAAATATGTAAAGGTGTATTCTCCACTGTATTTATCTCTCTCAGAAGGAAAGGATGTTTTGTAAGATAATATACATTTCTAAGGGGACAGAAAAAGTCCTATCCAAGGGGCTCTGCATCTAATTTTCAGGAAGAATTTAAATGGTTGGTGTTTTTTCATGCTACAGGAAATTACTCAGTGATATTTATACATCTGATTCATTTCTTCCAGGGTTATTTCTATATAAGAAATAGACAGAGGCAGTATAATGTTACTTCTCCTCATTGAGCCCTCAGCCCCGAGAGAAGTGATCGAGTGCCTTACACAATGTGTAATGAATGCACGGTTTTGATCTCCAGTGAGAACAGTTAGCTTGCAAAGGCTGACGAGGGCACTGTCTCTAGATGTCTGTCCCCCTCATTAACCGGCTTTGGTACAGCAATGTTTTCAAGTACTGTGCTTCAAGGAAAAACAAAGTCATTGACAGTTTCTTCTAAAATGTTATAGTGTGAACTGCTGTAACTCAGAAGCAATCAACAAATGTCTTAGACCTCTATAGACAACGTGTAGTGACCCTGTCCATTGCCCCCATTCCAGTGTTCCCACCTGACTATCAGAGCTTTAGGAACTTACAGGCTGGAACTCGCTTCTGTGTGGAGTAGGCTGAATTTCTCAGACATTACTGTGGATGAAAATAGTTTGTATAAAAACAACCCCAAAACCCATATTCATTAAATCTGGTAAGAAATAGACCCAAGTCTCCTGGCTGCATATCCCAAACATGACAGTGTAAAATTATTCTCTCTTCCAGTCTGGACTAGTGAACATCTGAAAAAATTAAAGTGGTAAATGGTAATTTAATTTCAGAAAATATGTAACTTAAAAAAATTGTCATGTATAGCCACCAATCACTGGGGAACTAAGAATTCCACCTCAGTAGTAAGTTGAACTGGAATGACAAGTCTGAATCAACCATCAACCCATTAGAAGGAAGAAAGTGCCTAATATCTCAGATTCCCACACTAAGAACAAAATGTTATCTTTCTGGGGAAAATCACATTAAAAATAGCATCTAGGTGCTAATACCAAATTGTAAAGGTAAATACAGAGTAGTTAAAGCAACATGTTTAACAGCCATAAATTAATAAGGTTGCAAATTACAAGATTTAGTGCACTCACCACAAGCTGATTCATCAGACTTATCAGAGCAGTCAGGTCTAAAATCACACTTCTGGATCATCTGGATGCAACTGCCAGAGGCCCTGCAGACAAACTCCTCCTCTGTGCAGTTGTTCACGGGGAGGGTGGTAGGAGCTGAAGTTCCTGAAGTAGTTGTAGAGATTGTTGGCAAGTTTCCTTTGAAAATCAAACCAACAAAATGTTAAGGGATGGGACTAAGGCATTCTATTTTTGTAATGATTTCTCCCCTTGCCACTCCCACCCTTTGTCAAGGGTGTAGTTTTACGGGAAACGTGCCTGGGCAGCCAAGTTGAGTAATTTAAATGCTACCCATCAGGAACTGAATCAAACATTTCCTCAGTGGAAAGAACTAAGTTGCTAACCCACCACTATTCACATAGTCCTTGACACTTGCAGGAATTTATTTACACCTCTTATCTGTCTTACAAATTTGGGTTAAGTTAGTGAGTCATTTCTTCAAACACATGCCAGGAAGACTGACAGGACCATCACAAAAACCTAATTTCCCTGTGAACCAAGGCTAACAGATTATTCTGGTGATAATGTGGGTGTTTTTAACATGTCGATTACTGCAAGTGACCGTGGAAATTACTACATAACCTTCCTACCCTATAATTTTGTCACTGAAAAAAAAAATATTTGTCTCATTAGAAAAATTATTCTGAGGTCATCATCTTTTTCCACTGCTTCCTTTATGTTTCATTCAAACTCATTACCACTTCTTTAAAATCAATTTCCTTTGCCTTTCCTCCTGTTCTTTACTATGCACCTTTCTTTGGGCTTACTCTCATTTCTTGAAAACCCTTGCTATTATTGTCCATAAAAGGAATTTTCATTATATAACTCCTCCTTTAAATTTAATCATTAATGAAATTATTAGCTGTAGTGCACAAGGCAACTGAGCAATACACCTCAGATAATTAAAATGTACATGTGAAGCCTTTTTATATAAAATGTGTCTGGGATAGCAAGGATTTTTTTTTTTTCCCCTTGGGGCCTGGAACACTAAGACTGATAATAAATTCCCCACAAGCAGGAACCATTTCTACTTCATAATGGAGAAAGCACATCTGTTGCAGAAATCACCAGATTTAGGATTTTAGGATGCTTAGAAATTCCCTTACTTTTCCCATCTTGATTTAAATATCAAGAATTCTAATTAGTGAATATTAATAGGAGAAACTAATGATTAAATTGGGAAAATAAGTCTCAAATGGAATAAATGGTCAAATATAAAATAAAATCTGTATCGCCAACGCTGCAAGCATACTCCTGTAAAATTCCAGACCTCAGGTATTCATTGACCAATAATCTGTTAGTGGTTAGAAACAAGGACAGTATGTTGTAGTCCAAGATGTCTGCAAGACAGGATTTATGATGGTACCCATTGTGTATAATCTTTGAATCATGACCAAAGCAGGTACGAGCCAAGAGCCTACAAGCCAAGGACATGTTCCTTGACCATAAATGGTCAATTCGAGGAGTGGTCGAGACCTCCAACTCACAGACCACCTACCCAAATTATACCACCTACTCAGAAGAGAACAATAAAAGACTGCAACAGAGGCTGTGTGCTAATTTGCATCAGAAGCGAGAGAAGAAGAACCAATCATCGAGAGGATGAAATTGAATATGCGTTGTATAAAGTAAACATGTATGAATTTAATATATAAATATTTATTAATTACAATGTGCAGGCAGACATCTTTGGGAAGGATCCCATGTCCCTGGTGCGCACGGTGTGCACCATTAATAAAGGACGTCTCTACTTACCTAACTTTGTGTAGATAAGTTTTTCTTATCCACTGCAGATTTGCAACACATAAAATGAATTATATTCCAATCAAATGAATGGTACTCCCATAATATCCTAAGACTCAAACAAAAGACTTAGGGGAAAGAATCACTTGAAAGAATAATTGCATGGTGTAATAACTCCATCTACAACTCAATAATAGCAAGGACCTTATTGGTCAGAAATTTTTAAATATAAATTCCTCATTCAAGTCTCTGCTCCTAATGCACTGGAACACAAGAAGAAATTTTGAGGCACCATAACCTTCAGGACACCTGAAAAGAAAGGAGAAACTGCTCCTTTATCTCTTTTGAAATTATTCATTTTCTATAAATTACAAAATAACGTTTTGTCCAGAGGAAGCATCATTGCACAGTTTTTGGTCAGGGCATTTGAATGATGCATCAAAGCAGTATGCTCAAGTTTCGACATCTTTAATATGACTTATGACGGACTTTACCACCAAGTTACCAAGCACATCTCTCCCCGGTCAGTATTTGGTTATCTGAAGTGGAATAAGTGCAACTGGGTAGCTAGTGCTTAATTCTAGGGTGCAGGGACATGGGACCCCCGCTTTTTTTCCCTGATCCAACTCGCTTTAAATATGTTGGAACATGCCATAGCTATTGACTGTTTTGCAGATCATTCCCATAGTCTCTTTGGCTCTTTTTAGGTTGTTCAAATTTTTTTCTGGTGTGGAGGAAACAAAATAGAGGCAGGAACATGGAGTGTCTCAAAAATTGCTCTCAATATTAAGTGTTTTAAAAACACACAGAACACAAACCCTGTTTGCTATTCAGACCTGTCTGCAATTACACTTGAATATTTTTGTTCTTTCTTTCCACACAAATTGAGCTTTTTTCTTATTTATGAGCTTTGAAATTCTGACCCTCTGTACTTTCCAACTTTCTTTTTTATTTTTAAAACATTTTTTCATATCTCATTTGAAAACATGTAGGGTTTTTCTAATTAGCTCTTTTAAGTTTTTCTTCCTTGAATAGAAGGCATTGTACATTAACCGAGTATTTACAAAAAACTTTATATTCAAAATGTTATAATAAATGTTGTACAATGTATAAACTTGGTAACATGTGAGATAACTATCTGCAGAAGAAACATGCCATATACTCAATGTTCCTAGTAGACCTAATTATATCTACAAGGAATTTTTGGAGTAGCAGAATAAAATACATGTGCAGTAGAGTGTTTTAGAGTTAGTGCTGGGATACTAATATTCAGACTGTTCTAAATTGTTTGCTGTTCTACAGCCCTCTTATACTGTACGTCAACTGTCATACCATATATAACACTGTAAGGCCTGCTGCAGCTAGCACTACTCCTCCTAAAATCCCTTCTGCGATGAAGTGAGAGGTCCACAATCTTGTTTTTTGAAGCACATGTATTTTGGGACATACTATTTTACAATTCTGTAGAGACTGTACTACCTTGAGTAGCAATGACTTCTGAGGCCAGGCTGCTCTATCATCTGAATTGTTTGTGTGCTGCAACACAGGAGCAATTGGCACAGTAAAAACTTTAAGAATTATTGGGCGGAGGTAGAAGGCTGTACCAAACTGAGTTTGCTGAATGAAAGGCCAGCTTGTGTTCACACAGTTAACTTTCTTTTTCCTTCTAGGAATCAAGATCTCAAAAAGCTTGGAAGCTGTACACTTCTCACTGAGGGTCTCTTTTGGACCTTATGTGCACAGCAGAAACTATTTTGTGCTGTTGCCTGGATATGAGAGTCTGAGAAGCAGGGAAACAAGTCTGTATTTCCTTGCCAGGCACGAGTCACAGTTTGATCTGTTTTTTGCTTTTCCAGCAGCAATATTTACAAATGACAGGAAAGAATCATCTAACAGCTAGGAGATGTACACTTTAACTCTGTTCTTACCATTGTAAAGAGTACAGCCTAGAAAAGACATGTCATCAAGTCCAATGTCTCCAGTGAAACCATCTCCTACAGTACCTTTCACCAAGATCTAGGGAAACATGAATTACAAAAGCATTTTTCAGTGTATAGTAGATCCACTTCTTATTAAATATTTCACATCAATTGATAGAGGAGTCATTTACCATGTTTCACAGTTAAAATGAGATTAAATTTGTATTCTATTTAGTGACACTTACAAAAGAGACTAATTATTGTCAGCTTTCACTAGTGGTCACATTCATCACAGTGAACCATAACAGAATGGTTGGCTTCACAATTGGGTAAATCCACTGAAACATCATTGTGATAGAAAATGATGGCAAGACTTACCGTAAGTGGCATGTTATGATTAGCTCCTTTGATACTTATTGTAATACCTTTAATTCATGTGAAGAAATTATAAACCCTTATACAAATCCCACTGTGATGAAAACAATTAAACAGGTTAGAGATGTGCTATGGAACCTTTCAAATAAAAATCTTCTACTCTTTCATTAGAGTTGCCAATGCTGTACACACTTTGCTTTCTTGATATTGCCTACTGCCAAGGAATGGGAGAGGTTAGCATTTGTGAAACACTCTCTGGATGACTGAGTACGCCTGTTCTCTGACTGTTGTGGAATTGTAAAAATCCAAGCAGGTGATTAGGGAAGTACGGATTTTCTTAATTTAACTGATTTATAAATCCCTATTCATAAAAAGATAAGACATCCTCAAAACATACATTTAAAAAACATAAATAAATGTTTTTGCTGATCCAATGGAGTTAAAATGTTAAAATTATTTCTTTGCCTTTCTTCTTTAAATGCATATGTCACACCTTACACACATATTCAAACTTCCAGATTATTCTGGAATGCTGCATAAAATTTCAAATACATTTGTCACCATTTGTACCTTAGTGCAACAGAAAATCCCTACAAAGGAATTAAATATGAATAGCGGCAAAAATACTGCAATACTGCTTCACAGTACTGTTAGTTCTAATATTTTTGCTGTAATTTAATTGTTTGTTATTTCATTTGCAAAAAAAGCTTATTTTCAACAAGTAATAAAGCACCACTCCAGACTTAAAAATGCAAGGCACTCCTATGTAGATAGGTAACTCATTTATTTTGCGCAAATGTCATTGATATTTTGGAAACATCCTCACATCAAATGTGGTTTCAAAAATATATGCTTGCATTTTTCCATTGCAGTATTTTTTTTGTCCCAGAGTAAACGAGGTCCTGTAAAGGACTTCCAGTTTCAGAAACCAGCACTATGTTTAAACAAGCTTCTACACACTAAGAACCATTGTTCACCTGGTACATACACAGAGCTTTTATTAGTCACACTTTAAATTTATTAACATGCAACAGAAGGAAAAAGTATTTTAAAGGTGCAAGGAATAGCCTAACACTGTAAAAGTAAGAGAATAGTATCACTCTTAACATGTTAATACTGAAAAACTTGTTTCTGCTATTCTGAAGTTGCATATGAATAGCAGACTTATTACTGACGCTGACATCGGAGTAAATAAAAATGATTACGCTTCATTTATAGATTATGTCCATAAGACAAAATAAATGAGTATGATAAAAGAAGATGGATGTATGTCCCTTAGTATGGATATACTGAAAATGGGATATTTTAGCAAAAAATATATCTAATGTAAATGACAACAGTAAGTGACAGCATCACTTCTTACTGCTCTCATCTCAGTATGGGATTCATATTTTTCCCTCAGAATATCCACAAATATTCTTTACCATATTACCCCAGTCTTTTGTTTCCCATTTAGTTTAAAATGCAGGCAGTGCTACAGTGATGCTACCAATAGCGTAAAAATGCTTAGAAACAGGACACATCTATTGTTTGGAAATGCCATGCAAGAAAATTTATTATTCCAAACCGACAAAATTCCTTTCAATGTAATTTTTACTGGCAAACACACAGCAGTTTAAGTGAATTTTGAACTTAGGTTTCAAAGCATGAATGATTAGCAATTCATAATCAATTACTCCTAAATCAGTTAAAATTCAGACAAAGAGGCAGAGGGTTTGTTAACTCAACTTACACAGTTATTACTAAGACAAACCCAAGCCCCCTCAAAATTACACTATTTTTCTGCAGGAATGTGCTGTGCTCTGACGGATGCTAACCATTAGGTCAAGGGGCTTCTCTCCCCACAGCTCCCTGTGCCCATATCCCCAGCCATGACATTCAACCTGTCTGAGTCCATCCTGGTGTATCCTCTTTCACCAACCTTTCCTTGGTGCAGGTGGCACTCCTGCACCTTAAGAAGGAATACTTTCAAAGGTATAAAAATATCCAAAGATAGAAGTGCCAGGACACAGTTCTGCAGGGGTAATTCACTTCAGAACACCTCTTTATTTTTATGATGATTATGATTATATTACTTAAAATCTCCTCACTCTAATTAATTTTTTGTATTTTTTTGCATTTATTTATGTACTTGCCTGGGGAGTCTGACTCTGGCATACAGCATGAACTCAGTAAGTAACACAGAAAACATAACAGAGGTGTAGGTATAGACTTAAAACTGAAAATGGGACCAATTCATGAGCTGCTGCTGTAGTATAAAACTTAGCCTCTCTGCTGCAGTGGTTAAACATTGACCACTTAAATTAATTTGCTAGCTGAAATTCTGCAAACTTCATAAGCTATTATTAAACAACCTCCAGGGAACTCATCTACCATGAAGCTCATTTCACATTTCATTTATCATTTGAATGAGGATAAATAGTTCCCAATTTCTCCAATTTTCAGAACTCTAGAGATCGAGTCTCAATGAAATCTGTAAAGGCAGCAAAAGGCACGCTACATAAAAAAAGGGGGGAAAACCTCCATGAAAAGCAAAATGTATTAGAATGACACTCTGTATACAGAAAAGGATTCATCCTTTAAGAGTTTGAACAAAATAGGTTTTTGAAGGGCGAAGGAACATTACGACAAATGTTAATAGAGGAAATACAATGGGTAATACTGTTCTGTACAAATGTTCAGTTTTTACAGTAATGCTCATTTCTGCCACTAGCTAATTCCCACTGAAGGTTAGCAAAAGAAAATCTTGATTTCCATACAAGGATAGTTTAAACTAGAATGGAATTAATTCCAAAAACTGTGAGGTATTCAAAATTTGAAGATTTCTTAATATCTAGGAAATAGTGATATTAATTCTAGTGTATTTACCTAGTAATATAACCAAACAATACCTTGGCTTTGTCACAGGAAGTGTCAACTGTGTTACTTAGTGATTTTATTAGTGGCTAGAGCACGCTAATTTTGACTAGGTTTGCTAGAATTTCTGGCAAGAAACCTTGTTTGGTTTGAAGAGGGAAGAACAAACAGAGAAGTGGATAATAGTACAAATAACCGACAGAACATTTTGTCATGAAAAACTTCCATCATAACTTACTGAAAGCAAATGCAGGATAGAAAGTCATACACATTTCACTGCATAGCTCTGGAGTAAACTACTCCTATGTTTTAATGCTATGTATAAAGGAAAATGTCTCATAACTCATGTTTCATCAAGTAACCAGTTTCTTATAAGATGATGGAACTTTTGTAATTACAGATAAAGGACAAGTTATAAAAATAGATTGCATGAAACTCTTATCAAAATTTCTTTCTTCAAAACTCCTTTTTATCAAGATGTCTCCACCCAACAATCATGTAACTAAGTCTTCACTGTTGGATGATCTTTTCAAGAATAAATGAACATATTCCTATAATGATATCTCAAGAATTACATTAAAAAGGGAAACTATTTACCAAGCAAACACATTTTTTTTCAGAAAAAATGTAATTTACAAAAAATCTGAGAAATTTAGATTTAATTTCGACTGCTTGATTTATTAGTTCATGTCAAATAAGACTCATTGTCTTCTTTACCAGACACGGTAATTTATTCCTCCCTGGTTTTGTTTCTCCACTTCCTCTGCTGCCACCAAAGGAGTAGGCACTGTGGGACATAAGACCAGTTCCCAAATCTCTTGTCTAGAGGCTCAGTAGTTGCATCCTGACTACATGGCACTGAACTTTTCCTCTGTACCTTCTGCACCACGGTTTCTCTTGGGAAAAAAATCTGGGTGCACTGGCAGAAGGGGTGCCACAACATGTTCCAGTTTTCCCCCTCATGGCAGGAATGACTAGGCAATCAGGGCTATTATGCATAGCGTGGAGCCCTTCTGCCCCCAAAAGCAAGCACAAGTTGGCACAGCCCATCAGCTGCTGGAAAGATTATCAACATTATGTCATCACAACATTTTAACGATATACATAGAAAAGCCTGAGATTCCAACTTCAAAGACCATCAGCCCCTTCCTTTCGTGTCCATCAAAAAAAGCCTTAGAAGTTGAAATAAAGTCCTTTCACACAGGTATTCAAATGAATTCTTACTGGCGATCTTAATATTATAGCTCCAAATACGAAAAATCTTGTGTCAAATATGTGGTGTTTTACAGTGCTTGGTTTTACAAGATGCTGAAAAACACCAGTCCTAGTTCAGTAAATCACTTTATCACACTTCACTATAAGCTTGTGAACCCTCATTCTGATTTATGATGTTTTTCCAAGCATTTCTCTAAAGTGCAGGGAAGAATCGCTTTTCTATCCTGTTTCAGACTCTTCACTGATGTCAGTGGGACTGCTAACAAGCATGATATTAATAACTGTTTACATATTCTGGGATTCAGTACTTTGCTGTATTAAGGCCACAAAACTTCACTCAAGAGAAAAGATCCTGTTTTCACTCTGTAATATTAAAGTTGGAAGAATTATTGCAGAAGTAATATATAGTCAGTGCCTAAAAATTTCTGAGATTCTAGCTTTATAAAACAACACGGTTAGCCCACGCATTTGGGAAACACCTATCTAGTAATGACAAATCTATATTTAATCCAATTTAAGGTCATGGTTAGTTTTGACTTCATCTACAAAGATATACAGAAGTGTCCTCTATTTTACAAGATTGTGGCAGAAAGAGATTATTTTCAAAACCAGATTGTTAATATGTAGCATTAAAAAAACCCTACACCAAACTCCACAAAAACCACAGAAAAAGGGACAAAATCCCCTTTAATTCTGAAGGTATTTTTCAGTCTGAAAATTAAATTTCTGCCCAGTTGGCTAGAGGGGACCCAAAATGCATATATATCCTTTAGCAAGTCTACTTTTTGTAAAGTTAAATATGTAAATATTTTCTTTCCCAAAAAAAAAGATGGATGATAATTTTTTTTTAATTACTTAAAAATCACTGAGTAATGAAGATCTGAGGTACAACTCCTTTTAGCGTACCTGTATAAATTTGAGGGTTAAGCATTTTTTTAGAGCAT